AGAAATCATTGCTGCTGATTTATCAGTCTGGGAAGTGCTACAAAGCCATTTTCAAAAATACACATTCCATCATTCCTTGGTAAGACAGATAATCTCCAAAATACAAGACCAATGTCAATCTACCCAGGAGTGGCTGTCGTAAGAAACTTTCTTCAAGACCAAGCTCACGGTGAGGACTAGATGAAGGTCAAATATGTTGTGAATCCAGTAAACCATAAAATCTCAATGCACCACACTGTATGGAAGGAACTGAATGAAGACAACTGTACACACCCCCAAGTCTTGATAAAAATATCGAGCTTAAGCACTGTTACTTCATTTTTTGTAATAACCAAACTAATACAGATATATTTCTGAATTTAACTCCACATCTTTGCTGACACGATGTTAATAATTTACAAAATGCAATAGCAAACTAAAAAGATGAAGGAAAATAAGCTGAACATTCTAAATATTTAACTTGTAAACTGTTTTATCAAAAAAAAAAACAGCTTGAGCAGCTTAACAGTGAAGCCAATGATCTTTGTATATTCTGTTCACATGCAAGAAATCATTTTAAACATTTCTTTATTATATAGGCAATTACGGACTGTAGCAGCTATTCACTTTATTGAAAAATATTTAAAATTCTAAAGATTCTTAAACAATTTAAGACACACAATTTAAGACTTTATACAAACAATTGATATTTCTGTTTCACACAGACTTATTTGTACTACTGTATAAAAGCAAAAACATTGAAGATGTACCTGGCTATATAATCAACAAAGCCTGTGTCTTTCAATAGCTAGTTCTGAACACCATGTAGACATCTGAGCAGCAATAAACATTCTGTTGTGCCCCTCAATCCAGGATGAAGGCATTAATTAAAATTCAGACTAAATTTGCTGTATAAGAAAAAGGTGCTCTATACTTATCAGAGCTTAGTTTCTTACAACAGCAGGGTTGCCATCTTGTAGCCTGATCTATCCGATTAAGTTAAGCAAGGCTGAGTCTGGCCAGAGCTAGGCTGGAGACTTCCAAGGAGAACTACATTGTGGCGAAGTTACAGTACCCAGCAGATGGCACTCTTCCTCTAGACCTCAGAATTTTCAGAAACCAGTGGCCCAGTGACTGGTGATTGGGGATACTATGTAGATGATACCACCTACTAGATGAGATGTTAAACCAGAGTCCTTACTACTTGGTCTTTAAAGACAAACCTAGGCATACCTAAACTTCCCTCTTTCACACTTCCCTACCTGATCTGCTGTGTAGTGGAACAGCTGGCGGATAAGTAACTACTGTACCAAGAGTCTCCCAGATAGATGGGCTTTCAGTGGTGGATGAATTGGGGCCCCTCCTACAAAACAAACATTGGGGGGTGTATTCTGACAAACACTATATGACTTTATAGTCATATGAATTATTATCAGTGCAGTTAAAGATTCTAATTTATATGCAACCATTATTTGGTAACATTAATTTTGAACATGACATGATTTTTTGTATTATATAAAGCACTGCACAAGTAAGAGCTACAGTACATTGAAAAAAAAACAAAAATAATAAAATTCACTTAACAGAACAGAAAACAGCCACCAGAGGAAAACCATCTATGTGCCCATAACCATCAAACCTGTCAAAACTGTACTGAGCTTAAATAGTACCTAAACAATTATTAGATTCTGCAAACAAAATACATTTCTGCTTTCACCATGTTTCCTGTGAAGTGATTTTTTTCTTTCAACACTGCAATTTGTTTCTAAAAATCTTCCTTAACATTTAAAATAAGAGAAGTTCAATGAGAATGACAATCTAAACCCGTCAAGCAGGACAATACATTGTGTATCTGCTTCATACAGCAGTTTGTAAACTAGTGTTTGTTGTTATAAAACCATATATAAATGTTAAAATCAGTTTGATCATGGAGCCTTTTTTTCAGGAAATATACAAAGTTTCTATTTGTAAAAGGCATCTTGCGCTAAATAGGGGTAACATTTTCAAGAAAATGCAACATTTTGATCAAAAATCAAAAACAAGTCAGTACTGTAAAACAACAAACCTTATTTAGGAACTCAACACACCTTATTTAAATTTAAAATGTATTCAGTGGAAAACACCAGACCATCACATTAAAGTTCAAGCATACAATCAGTAAAACACCTAGACATTTCCAAATAACCTCCTCTAGAACCCACATAGCATTAGAAAACAGTAAAATCTCTTATTAAAACATTCATGTTTGTAGTTTTCATAAAAATACTGATAAGAACTATAAAAACATATCTGCAAACACTGAGCGCTCAGAGGCGTTTCCTGTTCTTGTAATGTCCCCGTCCTGTTATTTCTTCTATTTTCTAGCAGGTATGAGTGGCTGTAACAGGACTTGTGGCATGGCATGGTGTGTGATGAGACGCATGCGCAGAGCAGCTTTATAGTTTGGAGTGGCCGACTGTGCTTGCAACCCTTCAAGCACGCAGGCGATCACAGTGTTGTCATGACGTTGTCGTGGAAAATCACGCTGGTCGCCCCTCCAGAGTTCTTGCGGTTCTGCTCCAGGATGTATCTGTGGTCCTGCTCACTTTTGCTGGGGGACATGCATGCTCTCTGCTCATCCGGTTGGGGCTGCCTGTACCGTACGCACAGTCAGCAGTTAGTATTAGATTAACAAAGGCTGCGAAAGTCTTAGGCAAGCGGGGTCCGAGGACAGCTGTGATCACGTTGGCCATGCAGTGGAAAGAATGCAATGAAAGAGCAAAAAGAAGCAGAGAAGGTGAGGACCAAGGCAAGCCGATTCCTTCTGTTATGCTTTTGAAATTTGCTGAGGATGCATTTATGCACCAAGAACCAAAAGGCACATAGGCAAAGATGGGGAGATCATGCAGAAATCATATTTTAAGAACAAAAAGCTGCACCTGCTGAGCCCCAGTGAAAGAAGAGGTGTTGGAGGAACGAAATTGTGCAATGAGATGAAACAAAGGAGATTTCTCCCCAAAGGCCCGATATCTAATGTTTATGAGCAGTAAGCTCATCTATTTTCAGCACCATATGTCTGTGAATTCTGACTATCTTTATATGACCAGAATATAAAAACACCTATATACTACATATTGTTACATTTTACTCCTTGGCAGTTACAGTGCAGTTTTCCATGTCAACAGGCCACTGTATGGCAGAGGTAGGATGTCGGGGCAAATACAGTAGGTCTCAGCTGATGTGAGAGGAAACAGGTATTTTTTGCAAAACTCCAGGGTGTTGGCAAGACATTAGGAAAGACATCACCAAGAAGAGCACATTCAAACCAAACCATCACTGATACACAAACCTGAACAACTACCTTTACCCACTCCAATGCCCAGTGTCTGAAGCCAACAAATTTAGACCATTTTACTTGAACAGGTACCCAACCACCAACAACACCAACACCTAAACAAGCACCATCACTGGGATTTTATTGAACAGAGAAAGGCAACTACTATGCTTCACCAAATAAGAGACCAGCTTCCCAGAACACTCGTTCTATTTTTCAACTGTACATCAGTCCTCACAGCGTAGCACTATCAGTCTGTACTATTCACCTCAGTCCATAAGCAGACATTTCAGGGATCCTCATTTATAGACCAAATTACTGTAAACACATTGTTCTATTCAGTAACGAGCTCTCAATCCTTTGAGACGAGACAAGACTTTGGTGGTTTTACGGTTTTCTGCTGGTAAGATATTAGCAGGTTGGATTCCTATGTGGGTAAAAGCCATATCACCAAAGTCCTTAGGTTCAGCACAACCAGCAGCCTCAGTCAATGAAATTCCAATGTACAGACCTGTCATTAATATAATAGGTACTCCTCCAGAAAATATAGGACAGAAAATAGTCTCATGCCTCATGGCAACCACATGTGTGCACCATGTGGTTTATTATCTATGAGAATGACTGAATTCACTCATTCTGTATTGTAACTCTATAAGAGACTGCCTTTGTGATAAGAAGTGTCTCGCCAGATGGATTGTTAGCTGGATGGATTGTTCTGGAAAAATAGAAAGCAAATAAATTGTTTATATTTCCTGTGTTGTCTGAGGTAAAAGTACTGAGTCCCCTGCTCTCTACATATCTGCTTTCATTTGTAGCAAAGTGTAACTTAACACCCCCAGTGACTTCATCTGTGCCCTTTATAATAAGGTATGTATTCACAAGACCTAAAGTCCCATAGTTCCACTTTGCACTATTTTCACATTATACATTATCTTTACAAGGCGTAAATTCCACACATGCAATGTGTGGCTGGCTCATTTGCCTTTTCAGAATTTTAAAACATTTCTGTTTATATTTTGCACATCTTCGCCTTGTTAAGTCATGATGACAATGGGATTAATTGAAAAACCAGTGAGTCGCCTTTATGGTTTCCCTTTAGCCCGGCAGACCCGCTATCATGGTGATCGAATAACCAAAATACTACCTCACTCAAGGAAAACAGTGAGCTTGATTGCACAGTACAAAAACTGTTTAAACAGCAGCCCTTTAAAGCACCCACCACCCTCTACTGATTAGAAGCACATGTACTGAGCAGGTCTGGCACCAGAAAGCGTGGAGTCAATATAAAGTAGGGACCACCAACCCTGATCCTAGAAAGCTCCAGCACAGTTTGTCTTATAGGCCACCTTTTCCTAAAATTTAGGAAGACTTGTAAATTATCAATCAAACATGAAATGTGTTTACATTAAAAGAACTGGTCCTTTAGGGCTTATGGTCGATAGGGCTAATGATCTCAAAATTACTTAAATTATCTTCTTAACTGGTCAGAATTAAACTGCACAAAGTCTCGGAAAGTTGGAGGTTTTATGATGACCTATAACACTTGCTGGATGGGGCTCTCCAGGAAAAGGGCTGGAGAACCCTTAGCTAAAGTATGTCTTATAGCAAAAGGTCTCAGAAGCGACCAAGACCTTTAAATAAAGAAAAAGAGGTACCTGGGGGGCTGGACTGGGATATCTGCCCTGTCGCCCAGTTTCAGGGGCCTTACCTCATGCTGCCTGTGTGCCCAGGATGCTGCAGGTGTGTTGGTAAAGGGGTGTGAGTTGGGTGCCACTGCTCATGGCTTGTGGGAATGTTCTGTTTGTACTGAAGGAAAAAGAAGAACACGTTGAGAACTACAGATGCTTATGCACAGTGTTTGCCTGAACGTCACACAGAAAAGAAAGCAAAGCGTTCTTCCTCCCTTAAAAGACTGAACAAACCTCATATTTAGGGTTTTCATCTAAACAATGAAGAACACAGTTATATAATAATTTTATCAAAGTCTAATTCTGAAGCTCAGATTCCTCAGAACAATGTGAATTTGTTATGACACCTCTATTTAGCTTTCATGACTCAGAAAATTAAAATTAGAAAAGAAAACACGACAACAAGCACAAGAGGTAAATCATTTGCCACCAACAATAAAATCTGGGTCAAAGTTCTCACCGGATAAAGGGTGGGGTCGGGACTTGTCTGAGCACTGGAAAAAAAAGAAAAAAAAAGGTTTTAAGTGTCATTTAATTGGTTTTAATCTTTTTAAGTTTATTTCAGTAAACTGCAGGAGGCAAAAAGCAAATGACTTTTTTAGCCTACAAATCCCAAAAGTGGAGAGAATGTGGGCTGTTGGGCGTGTCTTTCGTAAACAATAACAAGACTGATATCTAATGTCTACCAGTACTCATTCTAGAATAATTATGCTACGTTCCCGCGGGGATGAGTTTACACTGAGCACTGTGGGCCTGTCTGTAAATGAACAGAAGGAGAAAAGAAAAACACCACATGGAAGTGAATGGAGAGGAGGGCTCAAGCTGTTTCTTTCAGAGAGAGTAGCAAATCGCCTCAACAGAAGTAACGAAACACTGAATTCGGCTCAAAAAAGGGGACAGTACACAGAATTAAACTGAGTGAAAGGAAATAACTTCAGAGGAAAATTTAAACAGAAGATAACAAAAAGCTAGAGTGAAGAAAATGCTCCTCCAGCTTGTACCTGAATATACACACAATGGGTAGACAAAACAATGGAAACTCCTAACGAAACAGAACTCATAGTTTGAAGTAACTAAATCTCACTTAAAAAGGATTCTACACGTTTCATATTAATTTCAATACTCTTTACCCAGATGTTTCTGCTAAAAAAGTCAACTTAATATCAACACTTTAATATGCGAGTTTCTAAGGCAACATGAGAGATGATAACAGACTTAGAAAGAGGTCAAGTAGTCTGTGCCCAAACTGCCGGTGCATCTGTCACAGAAATGGCAAAATGATTTAATGTGTCAGGGGAACAGTGTCAAAAATCATGATGGCATATGCCAAAGAAGGGAAAACAGCATCAAGATAAAGAAACAGTGGTTGTAAGTTGAAGTTCACAGACAGGGATAGACAGACGGGATAGTTGCTAAAGACAACAAAACAATGGCCTCAAAAATAACCACAGAACTGAACCTACACACAACAAAAACTTTACATCTTGAACTTAAGAAAGCTGATATTAATGGTAGGGCTGCCATTTGGAAAAAATGTACAGCAATGCATAATCTGGTGTAATGAGCACAAAAGCTTGACTTTTGAACAGAGGAAGAAATTATTATTGCTTAATGGGCTGTCTTTCACTCATTTTTCTAAATCTGGAAGGGTTCATGGTTGGAGAAAGCTAGATTCCTTCAACCCACAATGTTCCCTCCTTTTAAACACGGTGTTGGATCTGTTATGTTGTGGGCAGCCATCTTGTGGGAGTCACCGGGTCCAATTTTTACTCTGTATGGTAGACTTACCTAGAAGGAAGCCATTTTAGGTGACCAGGTGCACTCTATGGTGCAAACATTGTTTCCTCAAGATATTCCCAAATTCCAAGATAATAACATCCCTAAACACACTGCTAAACGATTCAAGAAAGTTTCATGAACACCTGCATGAAGTAAAACACCTTCGTGACCTCCCTAATCACCAGATCTAAACTGGACATTTTGGAATATAGGAGTGCAGAGTACATTTCCATGCCTTCACAACTCAAACAACTCAAAAAGTGTGGTCCAATATCCCACCAGAAACAGATCAAAACATCTATAACATTATTCCAAGAAAGACTTAAATTGTTGGCAAAGGGTAGCCCAACTTCTTATTAGTTAATAGAAATTCTAATATTGCCTGGTGTTCCCATTATTTTGCCCACTTATATAAAACAATATTGATATAGTACTATTCTTCTATAATTAGCATAAAAGCATAGAGTTTAGAAGAATGACCATTCAAATACGTATTTCAAGAGATCCACCTTTTGACAATTTACACATTTGAAGTCAGACCCATTATATTTTTAAATACTCTTCAGAGCTATATAATTCAGATTACACTCGGGCTGCTGATTCCTGGTCATTGAAAAATGCCTTGTACAGCATACAGATAAACCGAGCTTCTGTTCACTGGATACGTTTTTGAGTATTTTTTTAAAGAAACAATGCAGATTAAAAATAGAATTTCTAACTTTGAAAACCATTCAATTTAATCATCCATCTTTCCATTATCAGAAAGCTGCTTATCTTATGGTTATGACAAGGTAGAGCAGAGTAAAGAGAGTAGTAGAGTAGTTTATTGCCATATGTACAGTACACTGGAATTCTTGTTGATCTCTAGGGACATACACAGCACAACAGACAACACCACACAATGGTGACAGTACCTTACAAATGTAATAAATAATAACAAAAGGAACAATAAATATTGTGTGGAATACTAAATATGTAGTAGTGAGAAAAAAAAACATGGTAGACCATGCAAAAAATGCCTAGTGCAGATGTGTATTGAGTCTGAGGCACTGCAGTTAGCTGTTGAGGATGTGTACTGCAGTGGGACAGAAACTGTTCTTGAGTCTAGTGGTCCTTGCTTTAATAGTGTGGTACCGCTTGCTAGAGTGCAGGGAGGAGAATAATTTGTGGCTGGGATGGTAGGGATCCTGAATGATGGATTGGGCTTTATTGCGACAGTGGATGGTGTAAATCTCGCAAATTGATGGTAAATCACATCTTATAATCCCCTGTGCTGTTGCCACAACCCTTTGTAATGCATCTCTGTCATGCATTGTAGTATTGCTGTACCACACAGTGATGCCACTAGTGAGGAAACTTTCTATGGTACTGCAGTAAAAGTTCATGGTGAACTGCGTCCCCATACCACTTATCCAAGAAGCAAAAGGCACAAAGCAGGACCGCTCTTCCCCTAGAAAAAACACCAGGCCCTGGCAGAATCAGGGAGGAAATTCCAATTATCAACGGCTAATCAAACCCAGCCATCATGTCTCTAGGAGAGAACATGCAAATTTCACAGATGCCCAAGGCCAGATTCAAACTTGGCACCTTGGATCTGTGAGTGGATGGCTCTTCTGATTGTGCACTTGTGCCCCAGTGTGGCATACACAATCCCTCTTCATCACAAAAATAAAACAGACAAACAGATTTGTCTTATTGAACGTATATACCCCTAAATCTGATAAAGTTAAAACCATATTGCAAATTGAGTTGTAATGTGTGTGAAGACATGTTCTGGTAGGAAGAAGCACTAGTCTCATGGTACTGTACATGCAAACCTAATTTTTCTTGTTAGATCTGAGTATAACCTTTAATTTAACTTTTATTACACATTTCGAGTAACCATTAAAAGTGCTTAATTCTTTGCACAGACAAAAAAAGTCTAAACATATGTAAATGATGCATCTACATAAACAAGAAAGGCTTTTCCTTAAGTTGCTTCTTCTAGCTCAACTTTTTTTTATCTTGTACACAAAGTTTATGCTCTTTTGCTACCTGCATCTGATGGGTGTCTGTCCAGTTTTGAATTTTTATCTAAATGTTGCTGAACTTAATGTGCGTTGTCAGTTTTTATAATTCTCCTAATTTGATATTATGTGCCAAACTTGACTCATTAATTTAGTAACTATACAAGAATCTAGATTACTGATACAAATTAAGAGTAGAAGTGATGTTCATACAGATCCCATTGGTAATTTAATTACAATTGCTAATTACATTGCTCCATCTGAGCATTCACCCCTCATCTATTCTCAGCATTTTCAATCCATTAACCAATTCTCAATCTAAGGACGCATATTTCCCAAAATGACTACCAAATATAGTGGTCTCTTATGGAGAACTTTATCAAAAGCCCTCTGAAAATTTAAATAAACCATATCATATGCTCGGTATATATCCACTACAGTTATGGTTATGCAAGAACTACTGTACCTTTTCAAAATCCATGCTTCCTCTAGGATCCTTATCTGATATAAGTGATTCTCTAGTGTAGTTGTAATTAAAGTTCCATAACCTTACATGCAATAGACGTCAGGCTGATAATAATTTTATTACCCTTTTACACGAATGGGCACTACAACAAAAATACACTCATTTCTATTACATTTGAAGTTTCTAAGCAAATACAGTACTTTCTAATATAATCCAGCTGATATGTTTCCACTGCAACAAGAATGTTTTTTGTGCGTTTCTTATAAGGTTACTATAGGTTTTATTAGTAAATTACTGTTTCTTCCTTGAAGGGTTAAAATTATGCATATATTTAAAAAGCCCCTGTCTTTACCATTAGGAGCCCAGCTTTTTATATGTTTAGCAGAATGTAGCACCCACTAATTTAGATAAGAATACTACCCTGAATGCAGTGTATCATCACGCCTGAAAACACTGACTACCCTGCATTAGAAAAGAATATGTCTCACTGAGTAAGACTTATCAGTGGCAGAACAATGTGTTAAAAGTGCCCATTAATCCAGCTCATTAATAATCGTAACGCCTGACATGAGTGTAACTTTCCACAACTATTAATCTCCTTAATGTTGCATTGATTTGGAGATGCTGTAATTTGGAAGGACTGGGGATTAAAGAAAAACAAGCGATGAAAAGGGAAAAAAAATTAGGAATGCACTAGAAATTCAATGTGGATTCTTAAAGAACAACTTGCAAATATGCACAACAAATAGCGTACATAAAGGAAAAGGAACTAGCTAAAGGCTATGGCTCTGGAAATTATGTAATTGTACTCATCACAATGACCTATAATAAATTAATAACTGGTTAGGTGCAGTAGGGCATTGTTTTAATAAGGATGAGATACAGAAGTATGATTAAGAAAAGACTGTGAAACCAATAGGGATTACAGAAACTGCACTGTGTAGTGGTCAAGATGTGTTTACACAGTTAATCTCTGATAGCATTCATTTTAGGTTTACTTAAGCAATGCACTGTGCTTATCTAAAACAATCTGAACAAAAGGAATAAATCTGACAGTTGCACTGGACATCCTAAATTACCAGTAATGAACAACAAATGCACATATATGCTTTCATCACAGCTCTATTATTTTAACATTCAGTACATCTCCTTGCTTCCTTGTTTGATTTAGTAGTGTTTTATGTAATTACATGTTTTACATAAAGACACTCTGGGCAAAATGTAACCTTTTCCATTTGTTTTCTCCCTCTTAATGGTCTAAAACAAGTTCTGTTTTCTCCAACAAAGCATTTCTGTGCACATCTTACCTTAGGTGTACAGTTTTCACAGGGTTGAGCCCTAAAAAAGAAGGATAGGTTTTTAACCAATCTGATACAAAATCACACTTTCTGACACTAAGGAGGGAATATGTTAAAAAAAGCAAAAAGTCCTGTTAACCAAATAAAAGTATTTGACATCTGTGAGGTGAAAGAAATATGACTTCATATCTTCTGAGATTCCAATAAGTGTAACTCCATTAACGTTTATGTCATTTTAAGTTTTAAGGGTTTGCAGCCTTGAATTGCAATGATCATATTCCAGCTAATCACTATGCTGCTCAGTGCCTTAGATTTGTACATCAGAAGATGTACATCCATTATGATTCTACAAACGCCAACACTGTCTATAATACCCTTCAACAACACCCAGGGCAGCACCAGGACAACACCTTATATCTGACAGTGGTCATTAATACAAAAAAGGGAGGCGTTTGCATTCAAGGTACCTTTCACCATGGACTGCCTCCGTGAGGGATAACGTTTGCTAGGCCTTCTCTCGAAGGTACTTCTGCGTCTCAGTCTGCCGCCGTGAGTTGCCTGGTACTCCGTTCTTCCACTGTAACATGCAACACACGTACCCAGTAAATATTACTGTTACAGTCTAACATGACCAGTCAGGTTAAACCAACCTTCCACTTCACACTCAGCACAGAGAGCAAACCCACATGACAGAGTGAATTAAGCTGTTGCTATCAGAGCTGAATAAAAGATAAGCACTTTGCCACACACACCTAAAAGGATACAAAAAATAAGCCATGTTGAGTGAGCTAATGCATGACATTTTTGGACAACAAAAAGTTGGACCAAATGACATGCTCTTGTGGAAGAGAACAGATTCTTAAAAAAAACTAGAGGACAATGATCATTATCTGCAAAAAGTCTATGGTTTTAACAGTGAATAAATTATTTTATTATACTTGAACTGTATAGCTTGCCTTTTTAACAAATCACACCTTACAATATTCTTATTTATGGTAATGTTTTGCTGTGGGCAAAACAAACGTTTTGCAAAGTCGTCTATCATGATTTCAGCATCATATGCAAATACTTTTGTTGATTTTAATTTGACGATACGATTTTCATACAATTTGCAAAATGTCCTAACATTTGAGCATGACCTGGTTCTTTCCATTAATAAATGCCGCACATCCAAAAGACAAACAAGAGGCTCCTGAATGGCAGAGCCAGTAAAGGCAAACACGTGGCATGAAACACGAGCTGTGCAGTCAAGTCATCACAGGCATCGTGGACTATGCCATGTTCTGCCCCTGACTTAATTTCCCCAGGCTGTGGCACACGATTTGTTGAGCAGCACAAGGGCTATTTACCACCCTTGTCCACTGATCTCTATCAAGAGACTCTCAGACTTTTTATTTATTCATCAGTCAACTTTGTCATCTTGGAACAAAGGCCATTATACTTTAATAATTTGGATTTGTGGATACAAGTTTAAATATAGTTAATTAAATTAGTGTACTGGCTGTATGTATTTGTCAAACCCTTTTTCTGCTATCCTGTTGTTAGCCTACAGTCCATTTTTATTATTTCTAAGATGTATCGCTCTTCCAATCAATGCAAACTCTTCCCTTTACAAACTGGCAGGAAGCTCGAACAAAAAAGTACATATGGTTCTCACACTCCCTCCTTGGTACAAGGGTCATGGTATTATTCAGCTGATCAAAAATTAATCATTTCCAAATCTGGACAAAAGAATGAAAAATAATGGAAGATTCCAACATGGCACAGAAAAAACTACCCGACTGCCTGCCCCTCACCTGAACCTGAACCGGGAGCCCAGACGGACAAAGTCATTTCTGCCACTCTTGCCATGTGCTGGCTGCCGCAGCCTGAAGAAGGCGTGATGCTCCACTGCACACTTCCACAAGTGCTTGCAGGCCTTGGCGCTGTCCAGCCGAAACACAAAAGTGTGCTCCTGTTCCCGACCCTGATACAAAGAGACAATACTGAAACCAGCTAAATGTGCTGACCGTCAGAGAGTGAAACCATTGAATACACTTACAGTACACTAGAGTGAATCTCAGTGTGCCACTAGGTAAATCTATCTTTCTCATTGTTACTTTACATTTATCATCTACTGTGATAACCACAGACAATTTGACTTTACTCTGATTTCCTACAAGCAAATGGTTTAAGGGAGAAATCTTAAATGCCTGTTTGCTTTCAACATACTGCGTCTACCCTACAGTAGTATGCATCCTCAACAGCTAACTGCAATTCCTCAAATTCAATACACATCTGCACTATAAACTTTCTGTATGGTCCACCATATTTTTTTCCTCACTTCTGCATATTTATTGTTCCTGTTGTTATTATTATGTTTGTAATGTACTGTCTACAATGTGTGCTGTTGTCTGCTGTACTGCGTATGTCCTGAGAGATCAGCGGGAATAAGAATTCCAATGTACATGTACCAATGGCAATACACACCTCTACTCATAGAAACCACTTTGCATTGTTCTAAGACATCATCATGTTTCAACCTTTTGCATACCACATTTCTGAAAAATGGACACCAGACAATTTACAACTACTTCTAATCATGAAACATCTCTCACCTTATCATCATCTTCTACAACAACTAGAGTTAGTTTGCTTTTCTTGAAATCCATCCTGGTGATTTTCGGCCTAAAACCACAAAACATGGAATAAAAAAGTAGTTATTGTCTGAAGTTACCGGACACCAACACATTTCAACAATTATGTGATTCCTTCTCTAGATCGATTGATATTTTTTAAAGATTAATTAAATATGAACTCAGTTTATGGATCTGAACTGCGTCTAAGTGGAAAGAAGCACCCTTCAAGTTGAGATACGTTTTGCTCTACTTTTGTACAATCATTAATTAGCATTGCTGCCACATCTCAGGGGCCCTTGGTTGTGCTATCTGTGTGGAGTTTGTATGTTCTCCCTATGTTCATGTGGGTTTCCTCCAAGTGATCCGGTTTCCTCCCACAATCCAGAGAAATACTGGTAGGTTAATTGGTTTCTGGGACAACTGGCCCTGGTGTGAGTGGTTTGTGTCTGAGTGGACTCTGTGATTGACTAGCGTCCTATTCAGGGTGTACCCTGCCTTGTGCTCGTTGCTTGCCAGGATGGGTTCCAGCTCCCCTGCAGTTATAAAATGGATGGACGGAAGTTCATTATACTACCTGTTTTCGGGTAAACCCTAAAATATAATTTCTATGAAGATATTTACAATTCAAAATATAAAAACTGATATTATCTTCTAAGTGCATACATCATGCATATGTATTTTACATCATCTTATATGAAATTGCCCTGACCTTAATCATCTTAAAAACTTTCAGAACCTCAGAAATTAGAGGAGGACATTCAGTTCATGTGGTTCTGTTTCTCTCTAAGCACACAGACAGTGCTGACTAAGAACAACCCAGGGAATATTTATAAATAACCCATCCAACTATTAATCCCTTTCACATCCACCCTTTTAGAAAAGGATAATTTAGAAAAGCCATTAGTATGACTTTGGGAGACAGGAGGAAATATACACAAACACAGGAAGAACATGCAAACTCCATACAGACACCCCAGACTGGAATCGCTCCTTTTATTATGAGTATATGGCTATGCTGCCACAAACTGAAGGTCAGACCTAAGTGTACATAATTACATAGTTCAAAGGTGTGTATAATTTTTTTTCTCTTGATGAAAAAAGACAAGTACTAACTAGGCAACTCCAGACTATTTATCAGAAGAAAATAAATATGGAAACATATTGTACACAACAATAGTTAAATGAAGGGAAGCAACAGACTGGTGCAGCAGAAATTTCGGACCTAAGCACCCCCGGAAGATTAATTAAAAACGTACACTTCCTGGGGTGATGTGCTAAGTGTCTACAAATGCAGAACCCAGTGACTGTAAAGACAGCCCTGCAAAACCTACTGTCAACAAGCATTCAGTGATCTGTGACTGCTTATCTCTCTCCTATTGAGATCAAACAGCATTATTTTCTTTGCCTCCAGACCTGCCCAATGGCAAATAAAAACCAAAATAAACAGGAACATGCTTCATACATATGCATAGGGAGCAATGCAAACGGTTTCAGGATCTTTGCACAAGTACGATGGTGTGCGTTACACACAGGGTTCTAGTAATTCAGAGCAATGCGCCTTTGTTCACTGCAAGACTCCTACCAGTTGCAACATCTAAAATTAGATTATTTATTTTTTATCGCCACTCCCACTACTGCTGTATAACAATGGACAAAAATAACAGTTACCAGAAGAACAGGCCTATCTTGTTGGACCCTTCGAAAACAAGGATTCCAGTTGGAGTCAGTCCCAGCGCATATTCACAGCCGTCTCTGCCCTGGGAAAAGTCACAGACATCTGGAGGTCATGGTAGCAGCTGCTTTGGCAAGCACTGTGCAATATTCAACAGGCATCATTCAGGGCTGTGCATCAAGTCTGTTTATACTGCTGTGACCCTCCCTGCTGTATATTTGCCTAAATCAGGTGTACAAATACCAAGTGGAGCCATTGTAAATATGCTTCCCAGCAAAATGTACACATATATGTGTTTTCAAAACATTAAATACACAATGTCAATAAATAAATGGGTAAATAATAATGTATACAACTGAGAGCAATTTAAATTATCAAGACACCCTCCATGAAGCTTAATATACGGCACAGGCTATTAAGTAGTCTTTAATCAGATACATTTGCTAAGAACTTTTAGGTTCACTTCAAGCTTTGTCTAACAGTTTAGTTGTGTCCATGTGGAAATCAGAAGCTGTTGCCGTTAAGTCCTGCATCTCTGAAAAGTCTAATGGATAATACATGAAATCTGACCTAACATGGATATCTAACAGCAAAATTAACACAAAAACACTTTACATGTGTGCAATATTTCTATTAATGTGAAGTTACAATAAATGAAGAAGACATCCATTTTATTAAGTCATTATACTATATATCCATTAAAGATAGTCTCGCTAAGCTTTCCTAAGCTGTATAGCATCAGAGAATGCTGATCTAAGGAGGTATGTTAGTAATCATCTGGGCAGGACTTCCAGAGAGGAGAGGACTGCTGCCTGTAAGAATGTCTGCTGAAATCAGAAGTGCAAAGAGTTTCTAACGATAATGATAATCACAACCATTACTGTATATACTGTAGCACCTTTAACTGTACATCATCTCAATTTGAGCAAGGTCAACATTAGTGCTAGGCAGTGTACTGTGGAGCTGGAAATGGAATTGTTTCAATTAGCCTTTGAAGCACCAGACACAAACATCTTGCTGTGATTTCTCTATATAATACCTAAAAGACCACAGATAATACATTAGAGAACTCTATCAATTACAGACCTTTGTGGACATTTAGAGGATTTAATGCTTAATGATAGCTATAATGTTCTGAATATCTATCTTGTAGAAGTAGGTGCTAGCAGTCTGCTCATCACTTTTATACAAACACACAGGCAATAATATATGATCCACCACCAGTGCAAAGCATCTAACACATGGACCACAAAAAACAGGGACATGCTGTTATCACCATGGCAATATGAAGAGAAAACATCAACACCATACCCTGACTTCACTTGTAATTTGATGAAAAAAGACAATGGAAAACACTGATCGAAGGAGACATTTTCAAAACCATTCACCAGTCCACTCCACTTTTCTCTGGCCTGTCAGAGTTGATATTTAAAAAAAAACCTCGACATATCTAATTTAGCAGAGCTGCACTGTAAGTTAATTCAATTTTTTAATTCAGATCGCTGGTTTGAACGAATAAGCTAATTAAAGTTGTGCTTTAAGATCCACAGAGTAGACATCTGCTCATCACCAGCCAAAGCTCATATGTTAACAATTCAGAAAAAATAAATACTCCAGCTCTGAATGGTACTCAGTCTGGAAAAGTCTGAATAGATATGATGAAGCTAATTATGCTAGAGGTGATGCAGCTCTTACAACACAGACACAGCAACCTCTGTAAATTTACCAAACAGGAAAAAAGAATCAAGATTGTAATGTACCTCCTACCAATGTTCAACCTTACATATTTTAACTGCACTGTATGAGGATTCAAAAGTGTGTTCTCTATCTTACCTCAGTTACTGTATTTCACTTAGCCATTTGTTAGCCAGTATCAAACTTCAAAAACAAAAGTGACTGATAAAAACATCTGAATAATATTTATTGAAGTTAACATATTTGTGAATGACAACATTTCAAAGGAGGATGCCACCTTGTGTTGATCTGTGTATATGTAACACAATCATATCGTTGTTCAAGTGTCAAAACAATTTGTGTTTAAAGATGAAACAATCAAGCAATTCATACTGAATAAAAGGTCACAGAATCACAAATACATGATCAACAGGAATGAATGAGCAAACCAGTTTATTGAAGTTATGAATTTTGACACTGCAAACAATAAAACAGCAGTATGATCAGAATCATGAACTGCAAAGCATCTATCTGTTATCATATTTGTGGTGTCTGGTTAGTATGAGGATTTTGCAGGTGTCAAAAAACAATTCAGAGGGAAGCAAAAGGAAAAATTCCTCATAGTTCACCAACCTGAAAGATATGCGGAACGTTTTTTGTTGTTAGTGTAAATACAGTAAGATCAGAGCTTTAAAAGATCTGACTTACTGTATGCGCACCATCCAATGATCCAAATTTACAGGGAGACGTGAATTATACAGCCTTACTATTTGGTTTATTTAAGCAATTTGTCCGGAAAAAAATTTCACTGAGGATCTCCATTACATGTCATGTCTGAGCTGGGATCAGGACAGTTCCAGCAAATGCACAACAAAACAAACTAAGAATAACAACTAGAGTCCTTTAGTGTATGAAACCATAGCGGGCCAATTCTGATGTTTTTTTTCTTTCCCGCTTTCCTAAATTGGTTAAATGTTCTAACTGTGAACTCTCTTAAAAAAAATCACTGTCCACTAAACAAACAATTGACTTTTAAATAGTACTAAAACTATAAGTTCACACCAGTTTCTACATTACATTCATGGGAAGCAGACTGCATGAACATGCTCTAATTGAAAAGGGGAAAATTATTTGATCATACATACCTTTACAAAGTGCATATCTACTCCATACATTTCCAACCATTTACATTTATTAAGAAAAGAGAGTTCTGCTTGAGCTGGACTCTTCCCTCTGTAAATGAAAACAATGACAATCACAAAAGAGGGGAAATTTCCTCAGGAATGTCTGTTCACAGGCCTGTGACAGCTGGGGACATACTTTGCCAAAACCTGTTGCTGTACTCCAGACTTGACAAATTCAGCCACAATATTGTAGGGAGCTTGAGGTAGGTTTCAAATGAAAACACAAAGTTCATAATAATACGATTGTGTTCTATGAACACTGTTGAAGAATCCCATAGCACTCAGTCACAATTCAATAAACAACAGAACCAAAAACAAACCGAAAGAAGAAAGTACAGCAAATCAAGAGCAAGAATAAATGATCCATTATGCATGGCTAAGCAAAAAAAGACAGGACTTTAAGACCGTAATCTGGATAATCTGAAGTCTATCCATTCAGTGCCTCACACATGCAGAAATACCTTCAAGTCTATTCTAAAGTTTACTTGGGGCCAGTGCAAGTTACAGAGGACTGGAGTACACGTTACAGGCACAGACTGCTAAATTCAGTTCAGTCAGTACAAAACATGATATCACCCTCTTAGTTTTTAGTCAGTTGAAACTTGGAAATATATCTATATGTACAATATATACTGTATGTAGTGTATATATATATAAAACACACAAATATACAACTGAAAAAAGATGACACAGGCGATCACTGTGAAAAGTTTCATCCTATACCGTACATCGTTTCGCACTTGTGTTGTTAATGAAATGATTAACTAAAAGTAAACATTTTCCACACTTACATCATTTTTTAAGGCACTACAAGATAGCAATGTACAGTAAGTGGCTTATGGATTGCTTTGTTCCGGAAAAGAAAAAATATTGTGAAGAGCAAAATCAGACCTTAAAAATTGTTCTTCTGGTAAGCAATGCTGTTACATTTGACTTAGATTATGAATTGTTATACCCCAGCATTAAAGTTGAAGTCTTGCCAACACAAACTACGTCATTGATACAACCAGTGAATTCAGGTTTGAATGCTAACTTTAAATGCATGAAAAGTGCGTAGAAAAAAATCTGCCCTGAAGAAGTGAATGACTTGGTTTCGATGAGACCACAAATTGAAAGGTGCTGGTGATGCTATTTATACCTATTCGTTTTCATCGGTAATAGGTACATTACATATATATACCCTGCCTGAACTGTAAGTTGATAAGTATCTAAATCCAATTACATTATTCCTTAAGGATATTAACTCTCCTTTTTAAGTCATTTCACTATAAATGACATTATTTAGTAACATAACTTGTGCTTATAATGGAACCTTCAATTTATTGGTAGCTACAAGTGAAACAGATACAAGTCAAAAGAGTAAAGTTTACACTCTAATGGTCCCAAACTTTACCTGTTTACATTATTCTTATATATTACCCTACAGTACATAAGTACATAAGTTGTTTTGCTATATGTAGTGACTTTCTGGTTTCTGATCCTGACGTATCCTAATCCTAATTGCCTGTTATATGTTTATTATTGTATTTTATACTTAAAATGGCAAACGGCATAATATGATGAGTATTGTTGCCCAGCATTGTCACACATTAAGTTCAACACAGCAGTATGTTTCCACACAAAGTGCAGATTATAGGTAGGTTTACGTCATGTCCTGCACTAAATACAATACTTAAAGGCCCTGTTTAATTAAAAAAAGGTCTCCTTAGTTCAAATACATGGGTGAACAATTGTTGGGACATCAAGTACATAAGTATTTGGATAAAATTCAATTCAGTGAAATGTCTGTCAAATATGGATATTCTGCATACCACAAATTCATATTTTCAGTGCAATACACTTTTTATCATCTTAATTATAATACAATACAAATAATATTAAATTTAAAAAAGTCTCTGGTGCCTAGTCTGTTTTATATTTTCCTTTTGATCTGACAAGGTGGGTATGACCTGTAGAAGATCTATCGTGCTCATTTTTGTGTCTGAGGCTGGCCTGCTTGATCAGACACACACTTACCAGAATATATCGCAAGGAACCACTAGTGGAATTTATTACAGTACAAGGGAATCCCCTTTGATTGCACCAACCATCCATCTGGGCTTATCCTGGGATAATCCTTAGAGATAATCTGAGTGAGTGAAATGAGATGTGTGTCCGGAGGGGTCTTTTAAACTTTGTTATAAAAACAGTACCACACTACATGTGTCACAGTATGACAATCCGTTGTATGAATCAATGCATTAATGATACATCGTACTGATTTTTCATGAGGCATTGTATGAAAATATGGCCAACATACTGGAGAAATTAAGTATTTCTGAATGTTATACCATCTTTCTAACCTTTGTTAATTAGTGTAACGCACACTGGTAACAGCTGTTAAACATACTAACCAACTAAAAGATTCCCCTAATGTACAGTACCTGTTTTTGAAGAAGTTCATTCAGGGCTTTATCTACCATGCATATTTAAGAAATTGTTACATTGTTTATTTCACCTTGCTTTTATCAATGTCAACAGTGTTTTTTTAAAAAAACAGAAACCATTTTTTATTTCCAAAAGACATTTAATAAAAAAAGATTCAGGAGAGAGTGTTCACTCCCCTTGATATGACGATGTATACAGTATCTTATTTTCTATGTATTCCTCTCTCTCACTGCGAAAAATATCTTAGATCTCCTAAGATAAACATGATGAGTGCCAGAGGCCACAGTGTTTACGCATGAAAAGCAGTGTAGGGTAATGTTTCAGTGTAAAATTAAAGCAATACTAAAGAATTAATATTCACAACTGTTTGGGAGATATCATATATGGAATAAAGTAAACTAACAGTGCCCATGCATGAAAACTAGCCTCATTCAGAAATTTAAAGTGTCAGCTACACCCTAAAAAAGATGATTAATGATACATCATCATATTAAAAAATAAACGGATTCTGATTCACTGAGATGCCGGGATCAAGAAAACTCTTTCAGCTTGGAGAAATGTCTGGGTTTCATGAAACTGGCAATTCTCGCCAAGCTTTGACTCTGCAGCTCATGCTTCTGATAATCTCCCAGACCTCTCCCTCCTACCAGTATCCTCTGAGCTCTACTTACAGTACATGTGCAGAACTGTATCTTTCAAAAGCTGCCTAGAAAAAGAAAGTTGTTGGTTGAAAGTTTTTTTTTCTTTTAAGACTCATTGCAGCATTGTACCAATTAACATGTACCTACAGTACAGTGTTATTCATATTCAGTGGTTTCATGAATATCTTTGAGATAATACTGTATACTTAACTGAATAAAGCAAATAACAGCTTATTTCAGCAAACTGCGCTAGAACTCCACATCCCTAAATGGAACTGTACCACACTGTTAGTGCAGAAAAACATATGATGCTCCTGAGATCTGCCTTGGAGCTTATCAATATCATTCCTTTTGCTAAAAAAGCAGTGACCAGCAAGAAGTGACAGACTGGGAGCCCTTATTTGTTTCCCTACTGACCGTGTTCCTCGTGACCTTGTGTGGTGGAAAATATTAAATTTTATTTCAATCTGTCGCCTATCATTCTCAATGAGATCTGTCTTTCTACCCTCGGCTGATGAAAACCCAACACTATTCTTGTGGGAAGCTAGCATTTCCAGCTACACTTCTAGGTGCTAATAAATACTGTACAACACTGCCTACATTCTGGCAGAAGAACTAAAAGTGCACTCATAGCCATAAATACACATACAAAAAGACCAAGGCAGAGACCGAATATAGCAGATGTCAGTTTGCAGTCAGCAGCCTTCAGTAACTTTATGTAGTGTGTCAGAGGGGTCAACAGCAAAAATTTGCTTCTGTTAGTGTTAGATGTGTTTGCACGAGTGAGTCTAAGGTGGGAGGCGTAATGATTCAGAAAATACAGAACCACACCACTTCTCTAAGCACAAAAGAAATTGAAGTTTTCAAGAAGTAAAGCTACATACTGTCAATGTACAAAGCAGTCAAAGATCTTTGATCATGATCTGGACTAAATAATCAAGAGGATTCTGGGAATGGAGTGTGCAGTCTAGACCTCTTGGTTCTGCTGACAGTTCTGGATCATTAAAAATCCTTAAAGAAATCCACACCAAGTAACTTTTGGGATGAATTTACTATTTCACTGCAAAGCACAGTCCGAAATTAATCAATTTGGGAGGAGAATTAGAAAAAAATAATACACAAAGAGCTTATTAAAAAAACAAGACTAAATAAATAGTTTAATATGACAAAGTAGGTTCCTAATAGATGTGACTGCTAATGTGACTGCATTCCTAGTGTTCAGGTCAATATTACCTATACTACATGAAGAATACCTACTTGTGCCAACAAATAGATGTTTTAGAATCCCTTGATGCAAACATAAAGTGAGGAATTGTGTTCAATAAAGACAAGAAAAATGTCAATTGTATGTGTGTTATTTGTTTAATCACATTGTGTTTATCTATTATTATTATTTAGATGAAGATCAGATCATGATTTTGGAAGAATTAATGCTAGAAGACAGATGATTCCAAAGGGTTCACAAAATTGTTCTCACAACTGGATGTACTGTTTGTAACTTTTTTTGTAAGTCCCTGCATGTGTAAAACATCTGCCTGGATGCAAAACAAATGTCTGCGACATCAAAGTATTATCGTATTATAATACATTGTAATTCATGGGACCTCTTTTTTTTGTAGTCTTCCTGGAACTGCACCATTACAGCAAATGCAGTAAAATGAAGAGAAAAGGAAAGAAGTAGTCACAGATTTAGCCAGATGATACAAGAGTTGAAAACTCCTTTATAGCACATGCAGCTGTAGTAGACCAGGGAGTAGTCCACACTGTACCTGCACTCTGCCCACTTCTGGAAGATGTCCACCTCCATTGCCTCGGTCTGTTTGGGTGTGAACCTGAACTCTGACACCAGCTCAGGGGAGTGCTCTGAGGGGTCACAATCACCTAGCTCCGCTGGCAGGAACAGAAGCAACAAGGGAGAGAGACAGAGAGGGAGACAATTGATGTCCTGTCATTTCATTCTTCATTCCTTTTGATCCCTATTCAGAACCACACAAGAAATGACATTATCACAGCTTCACAACAGTTGAAAGAAGAAAATGTATCAAGAATGTTTCAGGATCTGCTTTCTATCTGGGGAAAGAAAGTGCTTTCTGAGGAAAAAGATCTGTGTATAACCACTTTGTCCTTGTATGTTTGTGCCTGAGCCCAATGTTTATGTTAGCATTCCAATATTGTTGGATAATTTTATTCTGCATTGTATTATTTAATAGCTGAATAATTTCTGGCATTCCTTTTTCAGTGCTTCTGGGCTGTATGGGAAAAAAGATGTACTGCAAGATTTTTTTAAGAATCCTTAAGATTAACACTTGGAATTGAAGAAGAAATGTCAGCGAGAGAGTCTTGCTGTAATGTTAATCACAAGGTCATAATCATCAATGCTGACAATGGTTGTCTTTACTTTAACAGAACGTGCCAGCCTCATAGAAACAGACACAGTGTTGTAGCAGACATATGGGAGATTACAAAGAACACATTAAGCATTAAGACATGACCTCTCTGAATGGTCTCTACATTGAAACAAAGAAGAAATGAAAATATATAATCACAGTGATAAACACATCTATCATTGGTTAATGTATTATGTCTTTGCCAGGAAACAGCAAGCTGTTTGGCTAGTTGAACATTCAGTCTTTCCAGAAAGGTAGGGCAATAAAGCAGGAAAAGAACTGAGGTATCTATAATATCCTTCTTAGTCAAATCCAGAGGAAAGATAATTACTGTTGGGAGGGAGCTGCTTGTGTGATTAGAGCAGAGAGACAAAAAAATGAAAACAGTGAAAGCAGGTTGCTATCCATTGGTCTATAGGCTGACACACATGGTTTCAAAAACATGAAGGCTTTAAAGAGACTGAAAAATAACTACTCATGTGCAACCACTTCATTTGGGTCTGTGTTAAAGTTTTTACCAGTCTCAATAGAGAAAGGTACTGAAAATTACAGTTACACAGCTCACTTTCAGAAATTCAAGTTTCTACTTTATATAGAAATAGGAATAATAAAGAAAGGGAGAAACGAATGTTTCACATTTGTTAAGACAATCAGTATAAGATTCAATTAAAATAAAACCAGCTGACATGGATGTCTAAACACAATCTCCATTGATCTTCCACATTAGATCTTCAGTTCTGTAGACAGCCTTACATCTTCAGTCTTCATTAGCAACTGGTATTACAAAGTCAAGGAATAAGGGAGAGGGAGAAAAGTTTTTGGGGTTTAAGTGTTTCTAAAAGGAGAAAAAAACAACAAAAACACAGTCCAGAAAGGAATTCCCTGAGGCAAAAAAACGTGTATTTCGGGAGACCCCTGTCATGAAATCACTGGACTGAAACCCATCTGAGAAGAGGTGCCAGTCTGGCAGGGGACCAAAGTGCAAACTGCCACCCAGGCACTCAAAGAAAAAAAAAACATTACTTAGAACATTCACCATGGCAACACTTCCTGAGCTGGTGCCCAGCAAAACCAGGCAGGAGTCACTCAGATTGAACTCTCTGCTGGAAGAGGAGTGGTTGCAATTAGTCAATGACATCAGAGATCAGCCATCTGCCTTCAGCACTCTTCTATTACAGATCAACTAAAGTTGATTCAATTAGAAATGAAAGGTTCAAAGAGTTATGAGAAACGCTGACAGAAAATAAAGAACACTGAACTAAAAAAAACTTTGTGTTCAACATTGCTTTGGGAAGGTTATCAGATTGTTCAGAGTTAGGATTTTAAAAATGTTAGAATAGGATGACACAAATACTACCAAGAATGTCTTAAATTGCAAAGACACAAGCATGTACACAAAACTTCCATCACATTTAATTGATTATTTTAGTCAGGCACACCAGCTCATGGCACAGGAAAACAAATGCTATACTGCTTTCGACACATGGTGTACACATTTCCCATTATCATTCCACAGAATCCTGAGGTATATTCTGATATTCACCAGCAGCATTCAAGCAATCAGGCATTTTATAAGCATCGACTTTTTATTGATCTAAATATTTTAGTTTTTCACATGTGCAGTAGGTCTTCACAGCATTTTGAAAAAGCAACATACTACAGAACTAGCACAGCTACAGTATAGTACAAAAACATACAGCCAGTTCCAACAAGATTACATGAAATGCAGATTAACTTACATTGTAGACAGAAGGCCGCCAGCTCTACAGCAACATCATAAGGACACTTTAATCTATTAAACGTATGGAAAGAAAAAGTGATGAAATTAAAATGTCTGGGTTATTTATATCTGACACGCCTTAAATGTTCTTCAAAATGTGCTTGTGGAGTCCATTCTTAAACCTTAAAATATTTTGTTTTCTTTACCTTAATCTGGATTTATCAAAAATTATAGTTTTTACCTCAAGGTACATCATGAGCACAGAAAACATTCTGGGCAAAACTGGCAGTAGAGTCAGAAGAAATAACTTTGTTTTTTCCTTTTATTTCAACCATCCTTATTCAACACCATTACAAAATAATTTTGTTAACGTGGGCATTTTATTTTCCACGTGTAACAGGTGAAAATGACTGAGCAAACATTCCTGTCTCCAGCATAACATCGGAAAAATGCCATGATTAGTACATACTCTTACATTACTGTCAGTCTACATGGTTCTAAACGAATGTTCTGCATTTGTGTTAAGCCATTTTCTGTAAAAGCTCCTGCTAAAATCCCTTTCCATGCTAATTACTTCAGCCAATAGAACATAAAATTTCCTAAAGCTTACTTCAAGGAACCATGACAGGGAAACAAATCACACTTTCACACAGAAGCTATTCGGCCTTGACATGGTCTCAGAAGTAATTTTCCCTGCAATAATTAGTTGGAATACCAAATAGCAGTCTAACCAGTAAGAGCAACAGACATTAAGTACACGCATAATATATTAAACAGGAATACAAGAAAACTAGAGGCTATAACTCATTTTAATAAAGTAGAACTTTTGGAGCCAAATACTTATTCCTTTGGAGGGATTTTAAAATTTTCTTTGCCCACATTATTTGATTATGGCAATGGAGACATACTGTATTTCAAATTATATGACTCAGATGAGGATTTATTAGAGTACAGCACCTGAATGATAATGTTATATAGCATCCTTCATGACTCATTGGGCGTTAAACAATAAAACAAAGCAGAAACAGACCTGCATACATACAGTATAAATACAATGATGTATGCCCTAATGCAGAAAAGTGAGATTTAAGGCAGGATATGAAACTTATTTCCAAGATCTAACAAGGGTTGGAAAATCCCAGTCACCCAGTGTTCAAAACCTTCTCCTAGGAACTGAAATTCCCATGTAAGCGTATAGGGAGCTAATAGTTCACAAGTTTAGTCAGGAACTAAACTGTTCAGGTCCTTAATGCCAAGTAGGCCTCCTCATCCACACTCATCCACACTTCTTTACTGGATGAGGCCCCTGGAGGAGAGCTTTGTCCTTTAAGTTCAAGCACAGATCATGTCACTATCCACCTGCGATTGGGATTCCCAAGTAGCAGCACACAACTTGGTATAAATTACTAGTAACCCTAACAAGAGCTATGTTTGTACTATGCATTGATCTGACCCCATATTAAAATTATTCATACAGCTTTTCCGCTACTAAGCGAGCTTGTAACTACCGCTGTTCTGGAGTCTTTGCCACAAATTGGTAAATTAGTGACCGATAATTTTTGAGCACACTGTAGTCTACTTTTGTAACATAGTGAATGATCTTGGCAGGTTACAGCAGGGAATAATCCATTTCTTAATTATTCACTAATGTTATGTGTGACAACTACACATAATGAGACATACAGTAGTTGTAGAAGGAAAGGTTTCTTAAATGGAACTTAAATTGTCTTGTTGAAAATCAAACGAGCACACACACAATTTCTTGCTCAGGAATGGAGTCTCTGCAAAACTGCCACAATCCTTTCTCTTTTTAGTTTCCCTTTTTACTTTTGTGCAGCAGTTCATGTAAAATACTTACCTGCCAGAAAGAATGTCTTGTCTGAGTTGCAGTACAAAGAGGTACCTGAAAAGCAATATCACAGGCCATTAAACAGTGCGGATAAGAGCACCTGATAAGGCGGAAAAATGAAAAAGACAACAGCACTGATTTAACAAGGGAGGTGCACCTCCTACATAAGCCACCAATCTTATAATGACAGTACCAGCAATTAGAGTATCAGTGCAGCAGTTTTAAACAGATTATATCCTTATTGCATATTTACTTTACTAAAGCTGCTATGTACTATATTGTTTGCCTGCAGCTTTGCATTCAATTTCTCATTCCATTTAGTAATGAAAGACTTTCTATAAAGTCAAACTGAAATCACGTCAAGCTTATTTAAGTATTAGCCACAAACACACACATTGTACCTAAAGTCAACAGAACCTGAGGTATTATCAGCTCAATGACCATGTCACTGTATGCATCAGCATTCACATGAAAAAAAAAACCTTTCACCCTCTGGCCAAAATGTGCCTCAGAAACCTGTGTCATATTGCTTTTATTTAAGGATTTGACAGCATTACTGCCAGCAACTAACCAGGGCTAAATTTACTGTCCGTTTTTTGTAACATCACACAGCAAAAAGTCCCCCAGTGCAACAGGTGAGAGAAAATCTTACACATTTGTGGATTTCAGTCTGAGATCTGGGGACCATTTACAGACTTTGAATATACCATAAGCTGGTCATCCAAAATGTCTGGCTGGATTTGACCCCTCTATGGTATACAATCTGTATTCAATCAATGGTGAGTTTTACTCTCATCAGCTAACTTACTGAAAGGCTTTTGAGCCTTCAGCAATTCTTTAAATAATGTATCATTAATATTCTTGCCTTCACTGCAGTATGTAAACCATGTGACTCTGTGGGAAGCTCTGTTCCCAGAATGACACCCCCAGTGAAAAAAACATGAGAGAATCCTTCCATCAATGCTTCTGGGGGACATCTACGGCACAAAGCTGGTAGGCAAGGGGACTGAAAACATTGAGATGTATGCAATGAATGGGTATACATATTAATCCATTCACAAACCTACAGGAGAGAAAATTGTTAGTGCGACTCTTATCTCCCACCCCATCCTGGAAGAGTGTTTCTTCTAACACCTAAACAAAATAGCTGTAAATGGAGATAGAATTGAATCCATTCCCCATAAGGTGAAAGGCTTATAAAGTGAGTTACTCTACCTTAAAATACCACCAGCTTCTCCTGTGTACACCTGTTTTAACTTAATGTCAAATGTAAGAGCTAGTTTAAAAGGGAAAATGCCCATTAGAACAGTATACCCTGTAATAAAAGTAAATGATTGTACACAGGCGTTACAGGATGTGAGTTCAAGAAATGTGGCATACTCAACACATGACTACTGCTAAAATGTCAGACAATGCAGTTAGATCCTAGGTTGTGAACAAAAATATGAAAAGGCATTCTATGTTGAAGAATTCAAAACATTTGAAGATAAATTAATACAGAAATGATAATTTGCCTGTATTTACAACATAACAGTCAAATGCTCCTTTAATTATGTTTTTGTTGTCAACAAAATTGCTGATTTCAGGATACTTTTTGACAAACACCAAACTTGGGGTTATCCCAATCCAATTTGTTTGGTTACATTTGATGTTAATATACCATTTTTATTAACAACTAGTTATTCAAGACTGAATGAAAAAATAATAATTTTGAAATATTTTGTATTTTAAACAGCATTCAAAATGCATTAGAAAACATGAAGCACTCATCTACTCATCTAAGAACCTGGGCATTGCTGCTGACCTTGTGAACTCCTCATGCAGGTTGTTGGGCTCTGAGGAGTAGAACTTTATCCTGAAGTGCAACGTGTATGGAGGACCAACTGAAAGAAAAAAATAAAATAAATTGAGCTCATCTGAATTCTGTCACCTTTTAAACTGTAAATGTAAAAGGAAAAAAAAATTGGGAAATCTGATTAACTGTTAATTCTGGACCCTTATAAGAAGCAGAAATTTACATTTTACATTTCAAAAATGTCTCTTTGGCCTAGAATCTTGTGGCTTATGAGACTCTTATGTAAAATCTCTCACGTAACTCGGCTCAACTTAGCATTGGGAGATAAATGTGTTACAGCAACATAACCCCTTAAAAATCCCAACAGCACCAAATTCTCCTACAGCAGGAGGCTGGTCTTTGGGAGCAGCAGAATTCCCTCCTGCTGAAGAGAGCCGTGTGGCTTTTGGCTGAGAGTAGTCCTGATGACAGACACCACTGACAACTGGTGATCTGTCACACTCACTCTAAATGCTAATATTAACATTAATATTAATATTATATATTAATATATATATATATTAGTTAATCATTTTTTTATTTCAGACATTTCATAGTCTCTAGTCACAGTCCCCTTGATATATTCTTAAAATTAGTGTTGTGTCCACTTGATTTTTTTTTTAAATGCCATACACAACTTTAATACTGAACTATTAATATCTTCTTAAATGTTAAACTAAAAAATATGAGTCTATAATAATTTCATCCCCTAATATCATACTGAGTCAGTCAACCTCAGTTCTGCTCCCACATTACCTCTATCATCAATATACTCCAGTATCCAGGGGGTTCATGGGAATAGTAACTAACTACTGCAGAAGTCAGAAATTCATACAACAGGAAGAAAGAAACACAATTTCATGCAGTCATGGTCCCTCTTTAAATTCTATCCATCACATCAGTAAATCCATGGGCAGTTAAAGAAGTCACCAAAAATAATCATGAAACAAAAAGTGCAAGACCCGTGTCCATTTACTGAAGTGTATTTAATGCAACAGATTTGTTTACAATGACAAAGGCAACACTGGCAAATGGAAAAATAAATCCAACTATATTTTTCCAGGGAATCTCGGTTTTTACATTTAACTGTGTTAAACAAACCCAGCTGTGTTAACAAACAGACAAATGTACACAGACTAGACAAAGGCTGCTACAGGAAAAATACCCTAAGATCTGCCCTCTGTTATGTTTTCGGCTCCTCTTGATAACAATCCACTTAAACCAGAGGTGACTCAGGGTCTGTAACCCAACACAGCAAAAATGCGAAACGTAGGGCTACAGAAACACGTAATAGAAAAAATATATAAAAAAAACAACATCTAACACACAAAAAAGAGAATAACAATACTAATAATAATAAATAAAAATGAGTATGTTAGACACATGTCCATTATATTAAATGTGATCTGGGATAAAGGTGAACAGGTCAGTGAATAACAAACAGAAAAGATCTCAGAAAATGTCATATGACAAAGGTAGACAACAGCCCTTCATCACTGGAGTGACATGAAAGGTCAGTAAAGCTGCAGTGACAGAGAACTGTTTTCACTACAGCAGATGTAAAAGGTCATAAGGAAAGAAGAAATTATTTTAATGCAGTCATGGTCCCTCTTAAAATTCCATCCATCCATTTTCTTACCGCTTTATCCAATACAGGGTCATTGGAGAGCCAGAGCCTATCCCAACAAGCCCCTCTTTAAATTGTCAAAATCTTTCAAACCTTCACAAAGCATTAATGGACCAAATATTTTTTTGATCTTTGCAACACGAGAAGCAAAGTCTGGAATGCAGATGATTCCAGCAGTTCAACTCAAAGAATGCACCCAAAAGTCTCATACAACTCTCCCAAAGTGAAGTCACAGACAGTGCACCTGAACCCTCCTCAACATGCCCCAGGAGTAGCCCAGTATTGTGGAACTGGATTACACAACAGAAACCAAGATCAAGGCTATACCAATAATTCTCAAGAGAAAATACCATTGTTTGTGTTTTGAAGTGTGAACAACATTTAATGAGTGCAGCTCAGGAATATAAAATGCCGACTACCTGCATTTTACTGCTTTCAGAATGGTGTGCTAATTGTATTTTGTTATTCCCTTACCTAAACATCTTCACAAGTGCTAAACTGTAAACATGCCAAATGGAGACAGCAAGTTTAAATATCATTATATAAGACCACCTTGTACCACATAACTGTATCCACTATGCAGGTTTCCCTGGATTCTCACTGGACTAATACTAACAATTTTGATTTCACATAGTGTCATGGTTTATTGTATCTCTCAGATTTAATTTACTTTATTACAATTTTTGCTGCTTTTACCACCATATACAACAGTTAACCATTCAACTGTAACTATGTTTTGACTTTCTGTCCTTTCAGGAGTGGCAGAAAATAGAGCAAATTCTCAATTTGAGGAACTTGAGGAGATCTGGTTAGTGGAAAACTGTTTTTCATTTTTTTTTGCACGGAATATAGCTTTTGGACATGAACGCAAAATTCAGCCATTCAAGGCAGTCTTTTACCTGGCCACATTTGAATTGTCAGTAATGAACAAGTTTAGAGAACCTACACACAAAAACACTCAATACAATACAGTGTGAATTATTCTTAATGCGATAAAATAACGTTTGCTGTAATTCTATTTTGAACTTTGAGAAAATAGAACTTCCCGATGACTCAAGCAATGTTATAAAAGGAATAAGACCTATATTTCACTTGCTTTCAGTGGTTCAGTGATATACACCCTTATATCTCCATACATCTCCATTTGTATTTCATGTGCTCAAAATTTTCAGAATTCAGCTGCTGAAAAAAAAACATTTATACACAGATGATACTGGGATCCTGTAGCAGTACTGACTAAACCCAGGTCAACATGGTGTTGTTCACTGGACAGATAGTTGGAACACACTGGCATGACCAAACACAGCTGAAAAATCAAATTAAAATGAACAAGTTTAACAAAAAAACCCAAAACAAATCAAGTAAATTTCAGATGTTACTGCAAAAGACAATAAAGTTATGTATAGGATTTCAGGGATACTTGAAAAGGAAACATCATCCGGCACTCAACATAAAGAACAGTGATTCAACTTACTCTTTACTTGCTTCTTAATCAGCTTGGTGACGTCTAACCAGTGCTGAAAAGAAAAGAAAAGAAAGCAAAATCAAGACAGGGTAATTAACTTATATTTGGAAGCAAAGAAATAAAGGCTCTGTACAACCTGCTGATGTCAAATCCTCACTCGGTGATCCAAAATTTGAGTGTGAGCACAGCCTGATTACAAAAATTGATTTCTTGGAAAACAGCAGGCACTTAGAGAAATGCACCTCTTATTACAGCAATAAGACCACTGTACTCCATATGTAATTCATGCACATCCAGTAATGTGAATGCCCCTATGAAACCTTCCTCTCTCAATAGGATCAATGCTAATGGAAACAGAGATTTTTCTTCAATGGTAATTTTCCTTTTTTCAAATACCCCTGTCTGACATTTAACACTGAATGCCAGGGAGGATTTTGTATGATTAGTTAGTATTGCAACAGCATGGCCAGGAAATACAATTCAGGATTTGACTTGCAATTGCAGGAATTAGGGCTCTATTTCATAGCAATTCTGAATGTTACTGCACATCTCATCCTAGAGCTATGCGCAACATAATGAAACTTTATGCCATTAGTTCCATGGTGAAAAAAATTAAATGGAACGGTGCTGTATTTTTAATGATGTAAAGAGCTCCATTTCCTCTTTACATATCAGTGTCTTTCTCCCTAGGTTGAGCAAGGAATACTTATTCATTAAATCATTAATCCCATAAAATGGATCTGTACACCACAGGAAAATATCAGATAAAGTCAAAACAGAAAAGGAACTGTAAAGGAACAGTAAAGAAGAATACTGTAGGTCTGTTTCAAGATATAAACGTTTTACGAATTCCTACCGCTGAGTTTGCATCCCAGATGGTTTATAGAGATTTTAGTGCATGTGACTGAAAGTTTTTTTACCATAAAGTACTACTTAGATTTCAAGTGCTCACAGGCCAGCTAAGAGAAAGAATCCTTCCAGTTTACCCTGGGTCAAACTCAAGACTGTTGCTCAGGAGGATGTACCCCGAACAGCTCCAACAGAAGAATATAGGTGAGCATCCCAGATAGAATATTGACTCCACTCCAGAGGCCCACCCGCACAACTGAGGTTTTCATCCTGTACTACAGACTAAGATGCTGTCCAGGAAAATCACTATTAGGAGTGGAGGCAAGACACACTTTCGCCAGAGAACAACACCCATTTTGGATGAACTCAACAATGCCAAGATAATGGACACAGATTTTACACAAAGAATTAATGACTGGATAGGAGTAGCAGACAGAAGTGGTCAATGACCCAGAGCAGAACAGTCCGATTGCACCATGTTGTGAAAGGACCTCATCAAGACAGCCACTAAAAGCTGTGACCTGAAGGAGGGATATCTTTCATGGAGGTCAGCTCTAGGATACAGTGGCGAGGGAAGCTGTGAAGCTGAAGAAGGAACTGATCCTCTGTGAAAACTCAGAATTGCATGATACAGTTCAAGCCATGTTTCAAATAAGCAAAGTAAAACACAAACATTTTCATATAAAGTAGAAATAGCTATGTGGATGCAGAAAAGTATTCATTAAAAATGACAATTAAAAAAAATTTGAATTAATCCATATATTTATCTAAGCAAACAGAATCTAAGGCTGTGAGTTGCTGCTTGATTTTTTTAAAGAAAGAGGTTAGATATATACGAGAGATTATTAAGTGGATAAAAAAACGACCAAATAACTGTGTGAATGTTTTGCATTTTTTTCTCAAGCTGTCAAGTTTTATTATGTCTTTCATGGTAATGTTCTCATTATCATGCTCAATTGTGTTTCCACCATCACTTTGATACTTAAGGATGTCACCAGAAGATTTTACTGTTGTAGGTCATTAGTTATAATGTGGAAAAATAAATAATTCTGTGTCCTTAGTTTGACTACTTTTTACAGACTTGAGGTCGTGGAAATGCAGCTATTCTCATGACAGAGTTCACAGCTGAAGAGGAGGAAGTCAGCACAGGGCTGTCCAAGCAGCCTATCCAATCTGACCCTCTCATGACCTCACCAAAATGGCTACCACAGAAGGAAAAGAAACATTTTGCAAAGGACTCCATTCCTTTTTCTGAACTTAAAAATAATAATAATGTCTTACACTTATATAGTGCTTTTCTGGACACCCCCACCAAATGTGATTTACAGGTAATGGGGACTCCCCTTCACCACCACCAATGTGCAGCCCCACCTGGATGATCCGACAGCAGCCATAGTGGATCAGTATGCTCACCACACACCAGCTATCAGTGGGGAGGAGAACATAGTGATGAAGCCAGTTTATAGAAAATCATTACACCCCTACTCTTTTCGAGAAACTCCCTGGGATTTTTAACGATCACAGAGAGTCAGGACCTTAGTTTTACATCTCATTTGAAGGATGGCGCCTTTTTACAGTACCTAGATGGGAGATCTCCTGAGAAAAGCTAAGGTTGCTGCTGGAAAAGGTGCCAGTATGGAGCACTCGCCCCACGGTCTGTGTGGGTCCTAATGGCCCAGTATAGTGATGGTCACACCTGAAGAAGGCTCCATGGCCGAAACGTTGTGTTTTCTTCTTTTTTTCAGCATGGAATAAACCTATTACTTGTTCCTTTGCAACCATATTGGTGCTGAGTCCCTGTGTCTGAACGAATCAGCTGTGGAGTCCTTATTGCACAGATTCTACAGCAGATGCTCATAACGTGATGTGTGTGGCCTTTGAATACACTTTTTTCCTTTTGCTTTTGTTCAGTCTTCATTCAACAGACAGCTCCCATTGAAATTCATAGACGTAGTTTGATGGCAGTCTGATCAAAGAGACCGATAAAATAGCATTTTTTTGGAAAAAAACATAGGGCAATTAACTAATTACATTTCAAAGGACAATACTTAAACTGGAAGGAACTCTACTACATAAAACAACACACACAACTGAGCTTTTATACCTGACCACTGTATTCACCTCTGCTTAGTAAGAAAAATGCCTGCACTATTGCACTAAAACATCGAAAACAGCCTATTTATAGCTTCATTTGGACTATTGCCATGAGAATTGAGTGGGATTTTAACAGAACAGTACACTATGATGCCCAGGCATGTGGAATGCTACAGTGTACAGCATTAGAGAAAATTGAATCGCATTGTATTTCTCAGCATAAACTAAGGGCTTTTTGAAAAGGGATTAAAACACTCAATCACCTACTGACCAGAGACCACTGTGCAGGAATAACTGCAGTTTTATTTCCAGCTCTTCCTCTCATCTTGGGAACAAAATCAAAAACATGTACAGACTCCCAACTTGAGATCTAACAGGTTTCTGGCTGTAGTAGTGCAAGATAAGGCAAGTAGTGGAAATGCTGTTTTTTTTCTGCTTGAGCAAAATTCAGGAACAGTCTAAGAATGTAACCACCCACAATTAAGGTGATAAGCTGTTAGATGGGGCTGCATGAGTGTTTTACAAGTCAAGCACGTTCTGTACTGGGGAAGACGTTTAGCCTGGGGCTTTTCACAGGGCACTCCTGGCCACAACACAGTACCCTGCTACAACCAATGCTATTATAAAATTGCTGTCTTTTTTAAGCCAATGATAATAGCCCCAGAGTAGAAACACATTGCTTTGACCAGAGGAGTTACTATTCTTTCTTCCCCTGTCCTACCTGTGCCTTACTTCTGGGTGTGACTGAGGGACAGACAAAGAAAGGTGTCATCACACATGAATTGCATATGTTTGTAGCTGCTGGCTTTAAAGTTACATTTGATTGAATGAACAATAACTTAACACATTTTTAAGACCATTTGAGAGGCAGGATTTCTTATCCAATTGATTACAGAAAAAGAATAATTATGGAATTCCCAGATTATAGAGAAGCCAAGGAAAACTTTGCCCCCTCATTTTATACCATCCATTTTCAGACTGACAAGAGCAATAGAAACACTCCTTCTACTCAAACACAGTCATTTTGTGCTTACTTTTAAGCCTCACAGTGGCAATCACAGACATTGACACAGGTTGCAGTCTTGGGTAAAGGGAAATCCAAGCGTCTCATAGTAAAGTGTAAAAAGAAAACAACAGAACCAATCATTTTTAAAAAATGACTGTGTCAGAACTGATGTGGTGAGATGAAGAGTGATAAATGTACCAACTATCGCAGATTACCATGCATTGCCAAGGAACTCCCAGCACGACAGAAAGTCATTTGAGGTCTTCCAGCAGGGACCGCCAAGGTAAATGGGCCGTGAATATGAGGTTCTTCACATTTAATAAATATTTGAAAGTGCTCACGGCTGTGTTACGCTGCGATTTCTGTTTAAACAATCAGCTGTGTTTACTTCCCAGCGTACAGATATTACATTACCGGAGAAACAAATCAAAACATGGTGGAATGCACGCTTATTTGTACACACACACTTTTAAAAAAAGTCAGTCCACACACTTAAATAAGAACAAGAGTATTTCTTTTATTCTTACAGTTTTCCCCCCTTTACCAGCACAATAAGTGTATCTCCACTATCTTGTGTCATCACACGGCTTCAGGGAGAAAACAAGCAGCACTGCATTAGTCACAGAGGCTGCAAAGGGAACTAGAGAGGACAAAAAGAACAACTGTGATCCTTTTGTTTTCAAAGACTTAAAACACCTTGCATTATTCACTCTCCGCTTTGTTTCATAAAACTTCAAAACACCTATTTGGTATAAAAAAAAGACTGGGGGTGATTTCTAAACAAAGGCTACCGAATTACACAGAAGTCTTTGTAATCTTTTTTTCATATCCTGAGAATCGCGTCGTGGAACAATACCTTTCAGACCCATAAATCAGCAATGAGCTGCAGCAAGATGTAAGAATTTCTGAAGGAAGCAGACTGAACTGGACATGCAGTCTGGAAAATTAATACATCACTTTCGTTCAAATGTTTTAACACAGAAAAGGTTGCAAACAAGATGAGGCCTTTCGTCCCTTCATGACGTTTATTTGATAGTAGGCAATTAGACTGAGGATTACATCCTGCTGTTTTGGGAAAATAGCTTGGTTTCAACAGGCAAGGTACATACTGTACATAAAAAGTACGTAGGTAATACTAATTGTAAGATAATTTATTAGCAAAACACCCACACTTTCATTTCACATTCTTGGAAAGAGTAAAGTCAAAACCAAGGCCAAGCAAGACCAGAAACCAAACAACAATACGTCACTTATGACCATGATAGGGTTTAGCTTTAAAAACAACATGAAAATAAAGATATAAATTATATACAGAGGCGTATAACCAATTCAAGCTATGTGTAGAATGTGTATTATGTCTGCTCTCTTAGTGAAGGTACAGGCAGTTCTACAGTATGTTGTTCTCGTTTTCAATTACCACCAACACATTGGAAGACAGATGCAATTTCAATAGCTATAAAACCAAAATAGGACTAGGTTATGAAAGACTATTTTTTGCTGGAAAGTGAAAAGTATAATATGTAATGTATAAACTTTACTCTGTACCAATGTCTAGTGCTTTGAAAACATTTTCAGACTTCTCCAGTTTTCTAATTTTGTTGATTTTAAACCTTGCAGTCATGACTCTAAAGTAGTAAGTAAAAGTTATGGACACACCTTCTCCACACATTCAAAATAAAAAAGTAAAGAGATAATTATGATTAAAGTAAAATGGAAAAGTCACAAATGCATAACTATTCAAAACATAATGCTATAGTAATCTTAAATTACTATAATTTAGGTGCATAAAATTACCTTTGTCAGTCAAACAATTAGTAGAGTGGCCTCTGTGTGTAACGCCCATCTCTGTGAGGTTCCATGTTCAGGTAGTAAATTTCAAACAAAGATGCAACCACAAAGACTAAGGAGCTTTCTAAGCAAGTTGGGGATAGAGTCATTGAAAATCACAGAACAGGATAAAGGATAAAATAATGAAGTATCTGAATATCCCTGTGAGCACAGTCTACTCAATCATCAAAAAATGAAAAGGTTCTAGTGTACCACCCTGACACTGCCTCAACTGAGCAACAAGGAAATTACTGAGGGGTGCCAATGTGAGGGCAAGGACAACTTTGAAAGAGCTGCAGAGTTCAAGCCTATTATTTAAGAATGAGAAAGTGTAAATTCTTTAGTAGTGCAGTCAAATTTCTGATTTGAATCCTATTGAGAACATGTGGAAGTTGATAGCTGCTGCCCATATGTGATCCCCTAGCAACCTGAGAAATCTTGAGCAAATCTGCCAATAACTCAAGGGCAAAAATTACACCAAGCTGGTACTGTATCCAAAGCTGACAGAAACTTGCCTAAAAAGACTGCTACCACCAAGTATTGACTGACTGGGTCTGAATACTTTTGCAATCAACATTCTTCAATTTTCAGTTTTTAGTTTTTTTCCCCTTGGAAATCTTCAGTTTGAGCATTCAGGTTTTGCTTAAAATATGAAGCTTAATAAACTGTATGCATTAGTTTGTCATTTCACTGAATGGGACACCTTAGGGACAGGCTGCATACTTTTGCAAGGCAGTGTAAATAATTGAGGTCACATCATTCACATTAAAAAAAAGAAAATCATGCACAATTGTTTTTGCTTGAATGACACAGAACAGCCATTTTTTCAAGTAAACGTTAAAATCAGTAATTGTCATTGATATTCCCACTTAAATGGGAACTACAGTCCCAATGTCTCAGATAGTTTATTAATTCTCGTCAATCTTGATAACAAAACAAATTGACAGTTTTGCCAAATTTGACTAATTCCGAATCAAGCACACAATCCTGAACTTCATGAAAGTAGTGTATGGTCTCCATTTTATCACAAACCAATAGTCTCGCCACAGGTAAGAGCGAGAGTCTGTATGAATTACGATGTGAAGCTGCCATTCCTGCTCACAAGTCACTGTAATGACTAGTGTAACGTGATGAACGAGCGAATAAACAAAAGTTGAGCGGCAGACATTTCACTCCAGAAACGTTCCAACGTGATCTGCGTGCAGTGCTAACAAGAAAGTAGTATCTGTTGGCAAAACAGTCTTGAAACTGAGAGCACTATTTCTATTGAATTGAAGAGATTCACAAGCCTGATTGTTTACAATTTAACAGGGCCTTTTCACATTACCTGACGTTTTGTTGTCTCTTTCTGAATCGCAGAATATGAGGCTGCACTAAATTTAGTCTATTTTGTAAGCGGGAAGTTTTACATGTAACTGTGTACATTTTATTTCTGGTTCAAAATGCATTTGTCAATGTCGATTGTTTCGAAGCCTGAAATAAAAACAGTGTTGCAGTTCCCCTTTAATAGAAATAGCCCCTTTGTTTAAAGTGAAGTGTCTTTAATAGGATTAACAACAAATACCAATGGAACATAGTTTATGCAGTACAACCTATAAGACAAAGATTTTTGATTTTTCAAAGACATCCCAAACACACCAATGCCTGGCTGATCTTGATCTTAGTCGGAATTTAACAATGCATTTCCCAGGCTGGAAGCATAGCTCACGTTCACAAGAGAATCTAGCCACAAACAAATTAAAAGAAACCAGTCTACTTTGAAATTACATTGTCATTCTATAATGTCAATGGGAAAAAAATTAACAATTTTAATTCAGATTCTTTGGGTGTGTGAAGCTACGAACAAAGTTAAAACATTGTAATCCTTTAGTTAAAAAACAGAACAAAAGACTAGAGAAAACTAATTTGTGTCCTCAATTCCCAACCTGATGTTTTTATAAATTGAAAATGGGACAGGCTAGACGGGTTTTTCTCATTCTATACAACTCACAAGATTAGTCCTGAAGTGTGCTAATTGAAATTGTAATTACACACAAGTGATTGCAGTGCAGGTGACTGGCATTTTGTAATGGTGTACAGCCGTACACTCTGTGCAGAATGCTTGATTTTTAGAGGACATATAAATCAAAAAAATGTTTGGAAGCATTTTGAATGTTTCACAGGGAACAGTAATTTTGTATCTTTATTTTTAATTTCAGCCACAATCAACTTAACAAACCACAACCATGACTCTTAATAGAATCTGAAGATTCTCACACATGAATAAGAACAAATCAATGATTAATGGAAATATACTTACTGAAACTTGATCTGGGTCCATGAATTGTAAACCAAAATAATCTGATTCTATAAGGTCCAGGTGATAAAGAATCTGGTCAAAGAGATCTTGGCCCTTAGCGGTTTTCTGAAAGAAATAAAAATTGAAATCACCTTCAGCAGGAATTGTCTGCATATAAAAAGAAAGTGTCATCTCAAAAATGAGAAGAAACATCAGTAATACAGCCACTGGAAGAACAAGAAATGTACATTAGGATACTTCAGAAAGCAGTTTAGGACACATGACACTGGCTTAACTTCCCTTTGAGTTATCAAACAATTGTAAAAAAGCACACTGTCACAGCTCTGTCCTATACAATATACAGTAGGTTATTTACCAGATTTGTTTTTAAAAAAAGACCTTTTTCAAAAAAATCATGATGGAAAAGCGTATAATAGATTTTAATTGAGTCAACCTGGGAAAAGGTGGTAATATGGGTGAGAACAAGAGAGAACAAAAGAGAATTAATGAAAATGAGCAACTGAAATCTGGCAGACATTTTCCTGGTAAAGTCTGGGAGGTAGGAATGAATTCAGAAAGCAATTACTTGAGAGCGTTGAGAAAGTGTGAACCTAGTTTAAGAACAATTTTGTCTTCTGAAGAAGTTGTGTCTGAATAACCCCTATGAACAGATAAAAAATGGCCAGGTAAAATGGAGAGTTATGGGATTGGAGAAGTTATGACCCTCACTGATGTCACATGAATCCCTGAATCGACAAGTCTTCCACCATTGAAACATTGTTATATGTTTTTTTTACTCTTCTGAAAGTATTTGCTCAGTTTAATCTCTTACACTGACATAGTTCCTTTTCTTACTTATTACTAGTTTTAAACATATAGAATAACTGCTCTACAGTATTCGGAACCCACAGCTTTCTGACTACAATAAAGAGATCACTGGCATGTCCATGTAGTCTTCAAAAATACACTAGAATCTTAATCACATCCCATAATGCACTCTGGAAGTTTAATCACATCCCATACATTTTGGGCAAAAAGGAAAGAAACTCCCCTGACTGTCCATGTACTGTCAGTACTGTGTACACAGATACACTGAAGGCCTAAAAGAAACAGACTTGCTAGTTTTGAAAAATTCACTGTCACAACATGTGGTGACATTTGTGCCATCTTCAGATAAAATATTGGTCTGTCTAGCATGCCAACAATATTCTTATCCTGAGATGGTGTCAAGACAACATGGCACACAATTGTATTGCATCCACAGAAATGAACCGTCTGGTTTGCATTGCAGTTCTAAAGCATAGGATCAGACTAATGCAGAACCTTATGATCGGACTCTTGCACATACCACCATAGCATGAATGTGAACTTTTTTCTTTGACACTTTAAAATGTCTGTACCATAAAACCAGCAACAGTATCAGAGTTCACCTGTAAAAGGGAATGCACCTAATAATCAGGAAACAAACTGCAAATAAGAGCTTTTTGCCTTTGGAATTCTACACTTGGGATTACCACCGGATATCTTCCTGTAATGCATAAATTACAGCTCTGCACGGCCTGTCAGTCACGAGAAAAAAAAGCCACATCGAGCGTGTGTAGGCTACCAACCCTCCTGCCCCCAAATCACTCCTGTGAGAGCAAAGCAGTAACCCAGCATCCCTCCATATCCGAACACATCCTGTGCCACTGCAGAACTGGACAGACTGAACTGAAAAGAGGGGAACTATGGTGATTTATTAGATGATTTATGTAATCTACCTAAAATCCAGGTGTACATTCAGCATTTTCTGATCCAACGATCAAAACAATTTGTTTGAATTTTAGTATTGCACATGTATAAACACCCCTTCATGCATCCACTTTCGAATGCTGCATCCAAATTTATGGTCGCAGGGGAAGCAGGAGCCTGTCTCCGCAGGCAACGGACACAAGTCAGGGTACACCCTGGACCACACCGTCCACTGCAAGGCACACACAGACAGTTACACCCAGACTCACACCAGGGCTAATTTTCCCAGAAGCCTATTAACCTACCAGGATGTCTTTGGACAGTAGGATGAAACCAGAACATCTAGCAGCAACTAATACAAACTGGGGGGAGAAAGTACAAATTCCACACAGATACAACCCAAGACCAAATTTGAAACCAAGGCCCCAGCACTGCGAGGCAGCAATCCAAACCACTGTGCCACTGTGTAACACCTCACAGAAACAAGCAATACAGAATTTCTCTCTGGGAAATGGGATACAGTCGAGAACTCGCATAACAAGTAAAAAGCGTTATTTTTATTTTCTATATGACCTCATTTCTTTTCTGTATTTTGCGCGTCTCTTTCTGTGTTCTGAATTGCGTGTACAATTTCTGTGCATCAATTTGCACTGCTTTTGTCTGTTACTGCAGAGTTTAATGCAGATTCTCACTGTTTTATTTTTGGCCATCTTTTTTGATAAGTATGGAAAAGGGAGATAACATCATGTCATAATGTCTTAACAAAACTACAATAAATAAAAATAAATACATTTTCTTTCTGTGCTAGTCACTTCTCCGGTACGAATCACATCAGTTTCCAGCAGGTCCAAAAGTTGGTCTCCTCAGTTTGGGGAAATAGCACAGTTACCGTGTAGAAAATGGTTTCATCACACACACACCAAAGACACATTAACTACAAACAACAACAAATTACAATACAGCATGCAAAGACAGAGATTAAAGATGCATATATTATCTCATTGGTCCAGGACCAGCAATAAAAAAGGTGTCTTTCTCTTTTGGAGGTCTAAATAACATCTGCTTGAGGAGCGTGGGAATTAAAAACCAATAAATACATAACAGCATACATCCTTGAGAAAACAAGCACCCAGGGATTTGTCTCTATTTTCTTTTTGTTCTGCAAATGCCTGCAATCCCCTCTGCTGTTTATCTCAAATAACTGTTAGATTCTTAATTGCCTCCACTTAGCAGGCGCATATGATTATATAAAGACAGGCAGTTCACATAAAATGCTCCTGCCAAAAAAAAACACCCTGTATTGATATCTGTGGGACGTAATAAACACCCAGAGCAGTGAGGACAGCATGCGATTCGCACACAGATGCAGCCAGCCCGTCGGCTTGGCTAGAATGTGACCTGCTCCATCACTTTCATTTCCCTCGTACTGCTGCTTGCCTCCCTGCCAATTAACAGTGTGGCTGCTTTAATTAAACATTAGGAGCATAATGCTGCAAAAGTACTGTTGCTGAGCAGTCTTAACTAGACATTGATGTTGATATCTACTGGAATGTGGACAAGCCTCTGTTTTAAAACAAAATTGCAGGACAGCTAGAACACATGTAGTAAGAGTGTGGTGTCCGGGACTGAGAGTACTGTGCTGAGAAACATTTTTCTCTTTATTCTTCATTCCCCATCTTTAATATTAAATAATAGCTGATCGGTCTCGATAGCGTCGGTGAGCTTTGTGCATGTTGTTCCACAAAATTTTCATAATCTCTGTTAAGACCCAAGTGGCTAGAGCTCGTAACATATTCAAGTAGGTATTGTGAAGAAACAGCAGGATGAGGACAGATGGCAGCTCCAAAGGGTTGTAAAAGTTTGGAACAATGTTCCCTGGCATATTGTTAAAGCTGATACTGTGGCTCCTTAAAAAAATGGCTGGATGAGATCCTTGGATCAATTAGTTACAATCTACCAAATGGACGAGATGAGCTGAATGGCCTCCTCTCGTTTATAACTGTTCTAAAATGATTATGCTATCACATGTCTCTATTGCGTCATTTTCGTTAAGCTCTTAGTTACTCAGTTTTTATGGGACTCCTGACAGACTTTTCTCACATTGCGGGAGGTGTTCCTTCCTTGCATATAGAAGCCTAATCCGTGGAAATCCAGAGAATCAAACAGGAGAAAAATGGAGGGATTTATTGGAGAATAGTGACTCAATAAAGGATCTGACTAAAAACCAAACAGCAGGTTTTCCCCTGGATTCTTAAAGGTTATCTTTTAACCTCTGTTCTACAAGGTTCTCAGTTTATGTCCTGGTAAAAGCCAAAAGCACAACATAAGATATAAAATATGTTCAAAACCAGTTTTGAAAAAGGCAAAATATAACTGATTGAAAGTATACAAATCCGGTTAACATTAAAAGTACAGTAAATGTTGTATTCATGGTAATATCTTTATAAAAACTACCACAACTAGTCATTAACATGCTATTAAAAACAGATACTAGGAGCTCACTGTTGGAAGAGACCCCAGGTTAATATATGAGATTAAGAAAAGAAAAAGAAATGAAAATTTTGCAACTGGCAGATATGTAACAAGAGCAGGTTCTTTGATAAACGTCATTTTGAATGAAACTGACAGGAAAATACTGTTGTCTCTCATTCTCCTCCTCCGAAATGTTTAAATGAAATTTGTGTGGGATGTATGAATGGAGGCTTATCCTATCAATACTTAGCCTAGATCTGCCAGCATCCTCACTCAAAGTCAAGAACACATGAGAACTTCATCTTGACCTACTGCCAGTACTTGGGGCGGAGCAGTGGCTCTGTGGCTAAGGATCTGTGGCTGGAAGGTTGCCGGTTCCAAACCCACGGCCAGCAGAGGAATCCTACTCTGTTGGGCCCCTGAGCAAGGCCCTTAACCTTAACCACTCCAGGGGCACTGTACAATGGCTGACCCTGCGCTCTAACCCCAAGCTTCTCTCCCTGTCTGTGTGTCTGTGTGTCTCTGTGTCTCATGGAGAGCAAGCTGGGGTATGCCAAAAGACAAATTCCTAATGCAAGAAGTTGTATAGGGCTAATAAAGTGATCTTATCTTACTTGGTTAAAATGAAAACTGAAAATGTCCTAGATAAGTCTGAATTGATCAGTGACTCTGAATTTATTTAAGTTCCAACAAGGTCTCCACAACAGCTTTCTGTTCTGAATCCAGATGTACGCAGTAAAATGCACTTCCGCAAGCTGTGCGATAGCCGGGAGTGAAAAATTACTGCTGCATTGCTGTTACTCTTATCAATACCAGTCGTGAGTCTCTATAAAGTCTTACAAGCGTAAATCAACTTTAGAATCTGCCCTACCATTTGTTTAACCATGTTAGATGCAATGAAATAACACTTGCAACTACTGTAC